GGAAGGAAGGAAGGAAGGAAGGAAGGAAGGAAGGAAGGAAGGAAGGAGAAAAGGAAGAGCAATAGCAATAGCACTTAGACTTATATACCACTTCACAGTGCTTTACAGCCCTCTCTAAGCAGTTTACAGAATCAGCTTCTGGCCCCCAACAATCTGGCTCCTCATTTTACAGACCTCGGAAGGACGGAAGGCTGAGTCAACCTTGAGAGTGGTGAGAATTGAACTGCCAAATTGCAGGCAGCCGGCAGTCCGCAGAAGTTGCCTGCAGTACTGCATTCTAACCACTGCGCCACCGTGGCTCAGATGCTTGGCAACTGATTCATATTTATAACCTTTGCAGTGTCCCGGGGTTACGTGATCCCCTTCTGTGACCGTCTGACAAGCAAAGTCAATAAGGGAATCCAGATTCACTTCACAACTGTGTCACTAAATGATGCAGCGACTGTGGCAAGGAAGTTTCGTAAAACGGGGCAAAACTCGCGTGCCACCGTTGTTAAGGGGATCACTGCAGTTGATAAGTTAGGAACCCGGTTGTTAAGTGAATCTGGCTCTCCCGTTGACTTTGCTTCTCAGAAGGTCGCAAAAGGGGATCACGTGACAGTTCCCCCCCGGGGACGCTGCAATGGTCATAAATATGAACCAGTTGAACCAAGTGTCTTAATTTTGATCATTGATGCTGTTGTGGTTAGCTGGCACCAGGTGCAGACGGCTGAGGAGAGCGAGGACTCAGATGAGGGGCCAGGACCAGTAGAGAGTGGACTGCTGCCTTCAGAGATTGTGGGAGCTGGCAGCAGCGATGAGGAGGTTCCCGAGGAGCCTGTGCCAAGTGGCGTGTGCACGCAGGATGATTCGTAGAAGAGAACAGCTGGAGTGGCACAGTCGACTCGGGAGTATGTCTGCAACATAATGGCCCCTCCTTCAAGAAGATAAAAGCCAGCTGTGAAGCGAACGTTCTTTGCAGAAGGCAAAGACGTTTTGAAACTCAGCCTCGTGAACATCACAGTTGGTACTTGAAGACTCTTGTGTTGTAAACTATTTTCTTATCTGTTGGTTTTTGGCAGTCTTGCAAAAACTTGGCAAGGCTCTTTCTTGTCGGAGCTAATTAGTTGGAAGCAGCCTTTTAATCTGTGAAGAAACAGAATTCAGAGATGAAACAGCAAAAGGTTGGGCTGCTGTCTTTGTCTTGTGTTGGGTCTCTTGGAAACAGGTTGGGTCAGAACAGATGCTGCAAAGGTCATAACTGTGAAAAATGGTAATAAGTCACTATTTCCAGGGCCGTTGTAACTTTGAACGGTCTAAGTGAATTGTTGTAAGTTGAGGACTACCTGTACACACACACACACACTTGCACGCACACAGAGCTGCTTGGTGACTCACTCACTCCAAGGAAAATGTTGCGGGAAGCGTCGAAACCGGCAGCGTAAATGCGGGCGGTGTACGGAGGGTTTCTTTCACAGATGACCCGGCAGGCAAAGCGGGATATAGTACTTTGGGCTGTCTGTCCGTCCACGGATGAGTTGGTGCCCGGCGTGGTGTCGGTCACCACAAAATCGATCATGCTCTCCGTCGAGCGGCCGATCTGGGAACAAAGAAATGTGTCAACTCATAAAATATTTCTATGGTCTTTTTAAGAGTTGCCAACAGAAAGGAAGGGGAGGGAAGGGGTTTGAAAGAGCAGTGCGGCAGCTTGCAAACCGAAAGTGCATTCCATTCATAGTTCTTCAAAGATAGTAAACAGGTGACTGAAGTTTCTGCTGGGCAAAAATCTAACTGGAGAGCATGGTTGAGGATTCTTGGCTACGGAGGTGTCCCATTGGAGAATATGAATTATGATACACCCAGGGGGTGGAAGAAAACCAGGGTCAAGGGTGACAATGAATTATGTGTCTCAGAGTCGGCTACACCCAGGCAGTGCCGGCATGTTAACTCCCAATAAATCCTTTTGAAGGTTTGGAAGTTTGACTCGAGACACATGATTTAATTTGGGGTAATTGCTTGGAATCCTGACAAGATGGGGAGGAGGAGATGCGATTCAGCGATCAAAACTTTTAACAAGAAGCGAACGTTTTTCTTTTATCATAAAGCAGACATTTTTTTCCTTCTTTTCAAAATGCTGGTTTTATTTTTCTCTAGCGGTTGATCTAAGGTGGGTTTTTTAAAAAATTGCTGTTTTTAAATTATTTCTGTGTTTCTGGCCAGTGTACAGGTAAGTCTTCGACTCACTATCACAATGGAGCGCTCTCTGACCTTCCCACTGAAGTGGTACCTATTTATCTACTCGCATGGCCATGCTAGGTTGGCAGGAGCTGAGGTGAGGACGGGAACTCGCCCTGTCATGTGGCACTCGGGTCTCGAAACTGAACAGCCGGCTTTCCAGCCGACAAGCCAAGCCTCTTTGACCACTAAGCCACTGTGCTTCCCAGTCTACTGTGTGTCAGGGTTCCAAGTAATACACCCGTAGCAAACACAATTCCGAGGCAGGTAGGTTCCTCAAAGAATCATTTTATTGGATATACCATATTGGCACAGGCTGGTGAAAACCAACTCTAAATGTCCCCGTGGTTTTCACCTAATTAAAAGTAAGAGTTTTTGTTCCCCTTCAATCACATGATCCAATCAGGGTGCGACTTGGTTGCTTGGGCAACATCACTCCTCCTTTCTTCAGCCACCTGTGAGTATGTCCTTGATTCTCAAGAGAAACTATTTTGTTTTGGCTACCAAACCCCAGCTATCACTATTCACTCCTCCCTAACCCTCATCTCCATTGTGGCAACCCTGGAGCCTCGAAATGGCCTCAGTCAGGCTGTTTTGACCAAGACTTCCTGAGACACCAACAAACACATATAAAATCCAAAACCCTTTTTATTTTAGTTCAATGGCTGTGAATTATTGTCATTCACAGCCTGGAATGAGTCTTAACCAGTTAAAAATAGTCCCAGGCACGTCTGCCAAAATTCTTCGGGAGACATCTGATAAGAACGCACCTTATCTTACTTGAAGTGCTGCCAATGACTAAAGTCCCAATTAGTCTTTCCAAAACCAGAGAACAAATTCACAATTTCGGGCTTGACACACAGAGCTTTTAGAGTCCAAACCGATCAGAGCGAATGACTTTGCTTCCTGCAAAGGTTTTCCTACCTTTGCTCCTCCTTTATGTCTTATGGGAGGGGCCAATCACCTCCAAGCCTTTCTCCCAAGTCGCCCCTTTTGTCTTAGCTGCTCTTGCCTTCAGGCAGTTCTGCGCATACGCACACTGGGAACAGGCTCCCCTTGTTCCTCTGCCTCGCTGCTGCCAGACTCTGGAGGCTCCAGAGTTAGCACATAACTCCCCAATGACCCTGGCCCCATCTCTGTATTGGACACAGGACCCTTGTCCGAGGCCTGCCCAGACTCCCGGACTGGCCCCTATTCTTCCCTGCTGTCTGATTCTGCTTCCATCTACGCAGGCTGTCGGCGGACCACAACACAGGTCAGCTCCAGAGTTGACACTGTGAGTCCACCCCCCACCCCAAATTTGCCTTTTATAGGGGCTAAACAGCTTCCCTTTGGACTGTCCATCACATCAGCTCAGGAGGCCCAGCAAAGGTTTTCCTGCCCTCCTCCGGACTTGATAAATACCTGGAACATGTCCGTCTCGCCATCTTGAGTGTATTCGACAATGACCGAATGGCTTCGGGAAAGCGTGTAGGAGATACTGTGCTGACCTCTGTCGCTCAGCGCCTGTGGGACAAGATAAGTAGTCCCTCGACTTACAACAGCTCATTTAGTGACCATTCAAAGTTACAATGGCAATTGAGCCCGAGATTTTTTAAAAAATAAATTTTATTAATTTACTATTCATTACATTTCTTAGTGCTTAATAAGCATTGTGTTTTCTGGTGTCATTTAATTTGCTTAACAATAGAGATTCCATTCTGACTCACTACCCCTTTTTTTTCAACCACTGGCAGAATAAGTTCCACGTTTGATAATATTCAGTATCTTCTTTCTGTTTGATTATCTTGTCTTTCTTAAGGTCAGTAAAACCCAGACTGTTGGGGACAGGAGGCTGACTCTGTAAACTGCTTAGAGAGGGCTGTAAAAGCACTGTGAAGCACTGTCTAAATGCTATTTCTATCTATCTATCTATCTATCTATCTATCTATCTATCTATCTATCTATCAGCTGTGATAGCTCAGTGATTGGAATGCAGTATTGCAGGCTAATTCTGCCCACTGCCAGCATTTGATCCTGACCAGCTCAAGGTTGACTCTGCCTTCCTTCCTTCCAAGGTCGGTAAAATGAGGACCCAGATTGTTGGGGGGGCAAGAGGCTGATTCTGTAAACCGCTTAGAGAAGGCTGTAAAAGCACTGGGAAGCAGCATATAAGTCCAAGTGCTATTGCTATTTATTTATTTATGTATTTATTTTTATTTATTTATTTATTGAATTTATGTTGCCGCCTATTCGCCCATGGCGACTCGAGGCGGCTTTTCAGAATGTAAAACCGTATTTTTTAAAAAAAACAATAACAAAATAACAAAAAGAATCAAATAAATTAATAAAGTACAGTAGAACAAAATCTGGAGAGAGAGAAAAAGGAAGTCTTTTACTACTATTCACAGCAATTGGTGGTGGTTCTGGATGGGTCAGGGAAGGCATTTTGCCCATGCTCAGAATCCCTCTTTACACACAGCCTGAGATTTAAATCGATCCCCCTGTGAGACCTGGCAATGTCATTGCTGAGTGGGGGGGCGGAAGTGTGGGGACATTTCTGCAACCAGTGGGGGGTTGCTTGACTTACTTTGGACATCAGTGGCGTGGAGATATGGTGGATGACGTCGGGTTTTACCCCGTTGGCTTTGGGTCGCTTGTAAAGGGCCAGCCGGCTGCGGTGACGCCCTTTGTCTCCATTAGCCAAAGAGCCATTGTACCTGCATTGGGAGAGAGATCCCGACAGCGACAGTTACGAACCTGGACAAGATCAAACACAACATCTCTATCAAAGTCAACCAAGCCCAATGATCTTACTGGATTCCCACTTTGTTAAAAAAAAGAAATGGGTTGAAGTTTAAAGGCACAAAGATGTTTTTTTTAAAAAAAACCAACCTACTCTAAACTTGGGAAAATTGCAAAAAGGAACGAAAAAAAACAGTACAGAGAGAAAGGGAATGGAAATACTGTAAAGAAGAAAGGGATGTACAGAAAGGACTTCCCCTTCCATCAGGACAACTTGAAACGATTGGAGCAACTTATCGCCTTTTCTACAGTTTCAACCCAAAATCTCTTCATCTCATAGCTCGTCTCTTATCTTTTTTTAGCAAATAATAAAGTCTCATCCTTTGGTCTTAATCAGCAAAAGTCCATTAAGAGTTACCAGAAAAATCTCTCTCCATCACTCTGTCTTTTTTCTATCATCTATCTATCTATCTATCTATCTATCTATCTATCTATCTATCTATCTATCTATCATTTATCCACCTATCATCCTGTCTGTTTATCCATCCATCCATCCATCCATCCATCCATCCATCTATCCACCTATCATCCTGTCTGTTTATCTATCCATCCATCCATCCATCCATTGCTATCTACCTACCTACATATCTATCCATCCATCCATCCATCCATCCAATCAGAGGAGGAGGTGTCTGTTTCTCTGTCTATCTATTCATCCCTCCCTCCATGATAGGAAAGCTAACACAACCAAGTTTCTGGTCAGCTATAATATCTGGATTTGGAGTCAGGTCAGTCAAAGCTTCTCTTTAGCTCTCCTGAGCTGTGAAAAATGTAAATTTCTACCTGTGGATCTGTGTATAGGTCTCTGTCTCCTACCTGGAATACTGCATAGATCTAAATTGTGTGGTTGGTCTGCCGCCTTACAGTTTGTGCATTGCATGGAGCCCAACACATCTTTTGCAAAAAAAAGTATGGCAAGGCTAGGAAGCAACCCAACTAGATGGTCTTGCAAAGTTCTGCTTACCCTCTGCCCCAAACATGCCAGAGCGGCGATATTTGAAACCAATAGAAAAATGACAGACTTGGAAGGGACTTTGGAAGTCATCTAGTCCAGGGGTTGCCAACCTCTTGGACCTCAGGGACCACCAAACTCATAATTTTAAATCCCGCGGACTAGAGACCCCGGGAAAATCCCCCAAAGAGTCTGCAGGAAAATTCCCCACCCCGTTTTCCTACCGATCGGTGATTCTTTATTTGGGATCGCAGGATATTGTCTCCAGCTCCATTCTCGGTGGCGGTGGCGGGGAGACTTTTGGCTTCATGCAAGGAAAGTAGCAAAAGCAGCAGAAGTCTTTCTTTCTCTCCCCCAAACTCTGCCCGGAATGAATCTTTGCCGGCTCAGCCTCTTGGAGCAGGAGGCCTTGCAGGGTCCCAAAGACTCATTTCTGGCAGAGTTTGAGGAAGAGAAAGAAAGACTTCTGCTGCTTTCCTTGCATGCAGCCAAAAGCAGAAGAAGCAGAAAGAAGCAGCCCGGTGGCCAGGCCAGGCAAGTGGGGCAAGTTCCCCCCCTCCATCCTTTCTCTCCTCCCCTCACTACCTCGTGTTGTGTGCAATGCAAGCCTTGTGTTCCCACGGCCATGTGGGCGGCGCAGCCTTGTGTTCCCGCACAGCCTGGATTAATTGCTTTGGGGGTGACATTTCTCTGGGGACCACCAACATTTGCTTGCAGACCACCAGTGGTCGCTGGCCCACTGGTTGGCGACCACTGTTCAAAACATGACTTATGACCATTTTTCACACTTATGACTGTTGCAGCATCCCCACAGTCATGAGAGGCCAGGCGAGGAGATGCGTGCCTCAGTATGAGTAATGTTGAGTTGGCCATGCCCAGCCAGTCACATGACCACCAAGCCATGCCCACCAACTCAGCCATGCCCACAGAACCGGTTGTTAAAAAATCTGAATCCCACCTCTGGTCGAAAGTATGAAAAATGGTCATAAGTCACTTTTTTCAGTGCCATTGTAACTTTGAATGGTCACTCCACACAAGCAAAGTACCAGCAAAGGAGGGGGAAAAAACTCCAGAGACGTTCCTGAGACAGGAAGTCTAGTCCTGCCAAGAATGTAATAAGGGTTAACGGAGAGGCAGTTTCTGTAAGCAACACCAGAATGTTTCCTTCCTGCCTTCCTTACAGGATTAGGCCAGTAATTTCTTGTAACAACCGGTTCTCCAAACTGCTTAGAATGTTAACAACTGGTTCTAGCGAATAGGTGCAAACTGGTAGAATCCCACCCTTGCCTCAACAAGAAAAAATAACCTAGAAAAAAATGGTTTAACTTACCCCAGGACAATCAATTCTCCGTACTTCACTGGTTTTTTGGTGAACAGAAGACTATCCCCTGCCGAAGAGTAAAAACGCCCATTCTGGGCACAGGTGCGACGCAGGTGCAGCGAATGAGAACTCACAGCTTCAGCACTTCCTTCAAGCACCATCCTAGGAATACAGAGTTGTGTGAACCTGGAGGGGAACGCAGGTTTTTTAATTAAAGGTACAGGGGGGGGGGAGAAACTTTCTTTGGCTTAAATTCTTGTGGCCATTGGGAGTTTTGCAAATGTGTAGTTTGGCACGGAGAAACAACCCCCCCAAAAATGAAAGAAAGGAACGAAGAAAAGCAATGTTTAAGGATCTCAGGAATGCGTGGCAAGCAAAGTAGATTTGGCAATCAGGCCGAAGTGATGCAGCATTGTTTTCTTTTTAAGATTTTTTTTTTAAAAAAAGATCCCTAATTGAGTCTGTAGTTCTGTTTATTCTAAGGACTAAAAGCCAGTCTGGATCAGCTCCAGGAGACAATCCGGATGGATTTCCTGACTTTTAACAGCTTTTAAGATGCGTGGACTTCAATTCCCAGAATTCCCCAGCCGTCTATACTATGAATTTTTGGAGTTGAAGTCCACACATCTTAAAAGCGGCCAAGATTGAGATATAAGTGACTTAATATTTGTGTATGTATTGTGACTGGTTTTAATTGTAAAAATTAATAAACTATATTTAAAAAAAAAAAGAGAGAGAAATAAGTGACTTAGACAATTTGCTACTGTCTTCTTTGGAGATTAAATTTTTGGGCTTCCCAGTTTGCTTTTTCTGGTGGAACTTCCATCCGAACGTTAACCAGGTTTGGCCTGGTTTAACGATGCAAGATTATAGCTAAAGTCAGATGTTTATAGCTAAAGTCTTTTCAGAATCCTATGCACTTCTATCTTAGCACAGCACAAGATGTAGTTTTTTTTTTTCCTTGCGCCACAACACTCCTGGAAGGCAGGCTCAGTGGAAGATATTGCCCCAGAATCCCCCAGGGCTTTCCATAGCTGTGGGAGGATTTGAACTGGGTCTTATATATCCTCCCCCTCGCCTGGCATCTTTCCAGCGTCTGAATGCAAAACCTGGGTTTGTCTGAATGCCTAAAACCTCTTCAAAACCATCCCTGGCGGACAAGCATCCATTTAGCCAAATTGCAACAGCGCTGAACCAAAAAACCACAAACAAACAAACAAACCACAAACCAGCGACTTACCACCGATCCTCGCATTTACAACCGTCGCGGCATGCCCACACGGTCACGTGATCAACATTCGGGAAACCTTGGCAACCTTGGGTATATTTACAACGGTTGCTGTGGTCCTTGGGTTTTGCCGATTCTTCTCTCCGACAAGCCGAATCGTCACGGGAGCCTAAACCCTAACCCTAAAAGAACTGCTTGATTCACTTAACAGACGGAGTGACTCACTTAACAAACCGTGGCAAAAATAAAATAAAAATGATAAAACCGGGATCAACTCACTTAAAAAAAAAAACAACCCTCGCTTAGCAACGGAAACTCTGGCCCCCAACTGTGGTCGTAAGTCAGAGACTACTCATATCGGTTGAGCCTGGCTAGAGATTGACTCTCTAGGATGCAGTGAGCAACCACAGCCTAGCTTGGTGCTCTAGACATGCTCAGAAATTCACGGAGACCGAACGTCACCCAGCAATTCTTCCCTTCTCTGCATGGCTTTGTTGTTTCTGCGATATTGGATTTTTTTCCTCCTCCTCCTCCTCCTCCTCCTCCTTCTTCTTCTTCTTCTCCCCCCTCCCCCAAGGATTGTAAACACATTTTGCATCTCCGGGTTTCAAAAGGGTTCTTCCCAAGTTGCCATGGCGACAGCCCTAAACTACCTCCGCTGCTGTTACTACGGCAGCATTTCAGATATTTAATGCCTCTCTGTTGCCAAGGCAACATGCTCTTTTCCATCCTGCTCCCCACCAGAAAAGGAAGCAGTCGAGGCTTGGTGGTGTTGGGGGGAATAAAAATATGTTTTTTAAAAAAATTCAACCATCTCCTGTTCCGGATCTTGGGTTTAGTTTAACCAAAACCTGCATCCTTTTTTTTTAAGGTTGTTGTTGGGTTCGCAACGCGGCCTAAGCAGATAAGGTTAAGGGAAAAATCTCACGGCTGCATTCACACAAACAAAAGCCAGAAGAGTTTGAACCTTGGGGTTTTGTTTGGGTCTTTTTCCCCCTGGCTTTGAGTCTTGTGTGAACGAATCTGTTTGGTTTGCGGGTGTTTTACAGCGGGATGCCATTTTGGACAAGGGATGAATTCAGGCACAAAACTGCAGGTCGTGTGTGAACCCAGCTACGGCAGACACGCAGAAAATAATAATAATAATAATAATAATAATCCACCTTTCTCTAACCCCAAGTCTAAGAAAACAGAATGGGGATTTTGCAAAAGGCCACACTTTTTGCATTTCCTCCCCTTACTCTAGAACACAATAGAGAACACGCCAAACCTAAATGGCTTTGCGCCAGCTCAGTAATCTTAAATCACTCAGAGAATACGGAGAAAATAACAGCATCTGTCTCGCCTTTTTTTTTTTTTTTTAAATAAAAATAAAACAGACACAAAGCAACAGAATCAACCCTCCCTTGTTTGCTCGCTAGGATCCTGAACTGAGTGTGTTCTTATTACCTTACATTTACAGATCGCCGGATTGGTATCTGGGCCTTAACACTTTGCAAAATTGCTCCTGCCAATAACTGCAACGACACCAAACCTAGGTTGCAAAGATGCAAAGATCCTTCCCCGCCCCCCACCCAAATAAATTAGATTTTTTTTAAAAAATCATCATTTATTGGAGAGAAACCCCCATTCTGGCTTAGGGTCAATTATTTGAAAGGCTAACCTCATTCCTTTTAAAAAGTAAAGCTACCTCTCCTGAGAAGCAGAAGAATTTTTAAAATAATCCCTAGATTATTTTGTGGGTGGGTGGGAGGAGGATATTTGTGGGCACTGTCACAAAATGGCTCCTGGGGGGAAGGAAACATGCGGGTCTCCCAATATTAAGATACGAGGGGCAAAGCTCGTATTTTAATTTTGGAAGAAAGCCACAGTGCTAGAGGGTGGTGTTTTTTTAAAAAAACCAAACCAAACCAAAATTAAATAATTATTCCAAAATGCAAAATCTCAGAAGGGAAGGGGTAAGCACCCCACTGGAGACCATCAACTCTGAAGTATTGCTAGAAGAGATGGAGGGACAGAGAATGCTTGGAAGAAAGAGGCAGAAATTAATCAAAATTGTGCAGACTTAATTCCAATTTCAATGTCTTAATGTGGAGTTATGAATTTTGGAAGTTTGGGATTTAAAAAAACAACAACTAGATTTTGCCAACCCCTCTGCCAAATTTTTAAGATTTATTTATTTAAGATTTTGAGCCAGAGGGACAGGAAGAGGCTGTAAAGGATTAAACTCCAAATTTATTCCTTCCTTCCTTCCTCTTTCTTTCTTTTTCTTTCTTTCTTTCTTTTACACTTTCTCCCTCTCTCTCTCTTTCCTTCCTTCCTTCCTTTTTTCCTGTCTGTTTCTCCATCTATCCATCCATCTTTATTATTTATTAAATCCGAAATGGGGGCTTAAGCAAACCTCTCTTTCTAGATGTGTGGACTTCAAACCCCAGAATGCTCAGCAACGGCTGTTCTAGCTTGGAATTCTGGGAAATAATGTCGACCCATCTGGGGAATTCTGGGAGATTAACATCTTGGTGAGACAGCCAAGTTGGTTCAAACAATAAACAAACCATCATAATGAGAATATATATATATTGTACAGGTACACACACACAAAATAACTCCAATACTGAGATTCTAACCGGATTTGTAATCATATATTGTGCTTAAACCATGGTTAGTCAGGCATGGCTGTTGAACAAAGCACAATTGACTTAGTTCTCATTATACACAGTGCGCTAAATCTGGGTTCATAATCCACGATAATTGGGATTCCAGCCATTGGGCAGATCACAATCATTAAATTACTATACATTATGCCAATCACAATAACTCCAGCCAATTAAACACCCCAATACAGATTAATAATGACTGATTCATACTAATATTTTCCAAACACAAAAAGCGAAAGTTGGTTAGATTACCGTGGACCTTACTTAATGGTGGTTTTAAGAAATTAATCTAGCATCCCGGTTTGGGATGATATACTACAGCATCAATTTCACTGCAGAAGCTACATTCGCACAGTTTTTAAACCCATGGTTCTCAACCTTTCTGAATTTACAACACTGGATATAATATTAATTCTGGGGCAACCCAGAAAATTATGAATCATATGTATGTATTTTTTTTCAATCTGTAAGACACAGTTTGATGAGAAGTGTTAGATTTTATGAAGCATACCAGCGCAATACTGAATATAAGTAATCTCAACTTATAACAGTTCATTGAGCGACCGTCGACATACGACCATTTTTCACACTTATGACCATTGCAGCATCCCCATGGTTATGTGCTCCACATTCAGACACTTGGCAATTGACTCATACTTATGGCAGTTGTTCTGTCTCGGAGTCACGTGATCGCCTTTTGCAACAAGGAAATTCAGTAGGGAAGCCAGAGTCATTTAACAACCACGTTATTAACTTAATGATTCGCTAAACAACCATGGCGAAAAGGTGGTAAGATGGAGCAAATTCACTTGACGTCTGTCTCACTTAGCAACAGAAAGGTTGGGCTCAGTTGTGGTCATAAGTCGAGGACTACCTTAGGTGGCTTATACAAGATATACCTATTTTTTTAATGAAAATAAAAAGCAACAAAAATTTTGTGGCACATTACATACAAGCCCATAGCACAACTACCTGAAGATTACATGGTCCAGGATGTGGTTTAGGGTATTGTGTGAACACAGCCAACAACAAGGGATCAGAAAACAATCTGAAATCAGCTTGCACACAAGAAGGTTTCCCCGTTTGCATTACAACTTCCAATTTTACATGTTCTGGAAGCCCCTACTTTTTCCAAACTGTCGCAAAAGACGAAGTAAAAACATAAAAATAAATATTTTCCTTGATTTCAAACTGCCGCCTTTTTGCCCTGAGTACAGCACTGCTAGCAACAACCCCCAGGGCACCATCTGCACGTGAGAAGCTATACAATACGGAG